CATAGCATGGAGGAGCCCTTCACCCCTCCGGTCAAGGTATTGCGAACACCAGTGACAGTAGCAGGGAGGGTAGGTCTTCCATGAACTAGGTTGATGCGCGGTTAACTCGACGCCGCTTTTCTTTATCTGTGTGTATCCCAGGCAGTTGCTTAAGTCACGCGTGTTTTTATTTCAACAAGCAATGTGTACCTCCTGCTACATGTACGATTCCGTCATGTCGCTTCCGTCGCTGCTTGACATCACATCAGGTGGTGGATCGATGTGCGTTGACTCGCATGGCGTGGTCACCGGACGGGCGAAGGTTGTGTGTTGGAGACGCCAAGGTGTGTGCAGGAAGTGCGATTCGTGCAATTAGCCACGGTATTTAGCCTCCCCGGAACAATCGTGAACAGCCGTCGAGATATTTGATGAACGGCGCCGTTGTTGATATCCTCCTCGCAGTCACCTTTGCTTCTTCCTCTCATACCATGCATGAGAGTGCATACATGCACGTTGAGAGCGCTGAACAAGCCCCTCGCTTCGATGAATATTGCAGGGCTACGCTCGCGTGTTCAACATGGACCAAGAGACGGCGCTACCACGAACTGACGAAGACTTGAGGCTAGAGGCAGCGCTAGCGGTGAAGGCCAACGGCACAATACCGTAGGAGAGGCATGCAGCCACGCAATGTCTCGCTGCAAGGGCGGTGTTGGCGCGCGGGCGAAGCACACAGATACATGAGCTCGATCTGCTGTGTAGGGACATCGGGGCGCAGAGTGTACCGTGCAGCGGTGTTTTCCTTTTTACTCTCGTGGGTGTCAACGGCCGGATTAGGTGGGGGGTTGAGTTGAGTCTTAGTCCCAATGTGATTTGTGTGCACCGTGGATAAACTGGGAACGGTCATATATTGTGTGCGGCGAATACGGGATGTTTTCTGAAACAGTGGCGCACAGAATGTCCGTTGCTCGAAACGTGACCCCCTCAAAGTGGGCATGGTGGGGAAACAAATGAAATCCGGTTGTTCCACGGCCTCCACAGGCGGTCCAATAGCCCATCTCTTTTACCATGGCCTTCCTTCACTAGTCTCTCCCGGTCACCATGCGAGAGCCCGGGGTGGGTCATGCAAGGGGATTATTTCATTTTCTCTGACACCTTCCTGCCGTGCATGGCATGCCTTCACCGTTATCGCGAGACAAGTGCAGCAGTTTGCTTTACCTCGTCCAACATGGATATGGATTCCAATGTTTTGGGTCACGTTGTGTCCTGACCTCAGAACCAAGTCGCCTTTTCGAGTCAAGTGTCCGCATCTTCCTCACGGCCTTGTTCGCAGCTTCCGGCTTACGGCGGAGTTTCGACTCCAAAGCCTGCTCACAAAGCTTGCCCCACAAGAACACACTCGCCCCAGTAGACAAAACATACCAAAACCGCGCGTGCTCGTGGGCTATCCCAATTTCGAGGTTGCTGCAGAATCACAACTTGCATTGAGCTTCCACCTCCTCAGGTGAAACTCATGAAATCAACATTTAACTGTCCCAATCCTACTCCCTCGACACTGGTGGCGTTCAACACAAACTTGACACTTGACACCCAATCCGCTATATCCTGACGCAAGAGAGCGCCCCGCTTGAAAACTCGCCATCACGGTCCGTCACGTGAATTCTGCCTCTTGTGGAAGAAACGAATGGGTGATGTGCGAAAAGACCCGTACATTGGCGATTGGAGGCGGCGCTGCATAAACAATGCTCGTGTTCTGCGGCACCACCCCTCGTGTATCTATCGTCTATGAACGCTCCCATCCTGCCTTGGGAAAAATCCGCCGCCCGTGGCTGAATCTTATCATCAAAATAAAATCTCTTCGAACTCGCCAAGACAAGACACATACAAGACACATCGCCCCAAGCCCTGTTTCTCAAAATCGCTGCTTCGATCATCCACCCCCACACGATCACGGTGGTAACACTTACGCCGCTACAGAAAGTAGTCTGGGGTGCGGCGGGTGACGTGGGGTTCTCCTCTCCGTGGGGCAGGGTCGAACTGCAGGCTGGGCGAGTGAGCAAGTAGGGCAGACGAGGAGACGGAGCGTTCAAGATCCGATGCATGTGGCGCGCAGTTGTACTGAGTAGCCACCCTATACATGTGCAGAGGATGCTTGAGGTGTCCTGAGGTGTCATTTCTGGACGTTGGTCCGATGGGGCACAGCAGCCGTGAGTTACGGTGCACCACGGGTTCACCATATGTTCAAGCTGCGACCGAGAACAATTTGTGTGGGGTATCAGTGCCTTGCCCACGAAATGCCAACACGGCCCAGATACAATTTGTGTGGGGTATCAGTGCCTTGCCCACGAAATGCCAACACGGCCCAGATCCTAGCGCGGTCGTGTACGACACAGAGCAAAGGCCTGAGTACTGCTGTATCGCTATCGGCAAGAACCGCTCCTTGGTGTTCCGAGTGTATGCATAGTGCTCACAAGGTTTTGTTGAAGTGTTCGTCGATCTCCATGATGGCCGCCTGGTTCCCGCACCGATAGCAGTAATTTGGAGCGCTGAATATCGTCACCACGCTCATCCCGTGTGACCAATTATAGCCCTGGAGAGTGACAACAGATGTGTGTACAGTGTGGGGCAGATGACTCCATGAGTGACCGTTGTTGCCCAGATTTGCGTCAAGTGCATGTAGCGGAACTCAACACGCAATAGAACGTTTTTGACACCCCTGGTGTGCAGGGGGGCTCGCGTCCTTGAGTACATCATTCCCAACGAACTGGCACTAAACACAAATAACCAAGAATCTTGACATCAAGCGGTCGAGTGCAAGAAAAGCTGCCCTGCGCCCTCGGCAAGAGCGAGTCATATTATTCGGGCCAGTCCATCGATGATACAGAAGTGCGTCCATCCACTCTACAATGTGACGCGGGCTAAACACGTCGCGACATCACCAGGTCAGGCACCCACGAAAACAAAGCCTACCAAGCGTTACAGCAGCAACAACACCACGGCCACATTTTGATAGACCCGTCTGACTGCAAGCAATAGCAACCAGGTGCAAAAATGTGTCGCACTCACATCCATGACCAACTGGTGCGCCCTAGACACGAGCAATAACCCGTTCGTGTGGTTGTACTGCTCCGAAATGTCTTGCCCAAACGTGTACCCTGCCCCTCTCGGCGAGATTCCCCAACCGTACCGGTCGTCGGGGTCTGACCACAGCAGGTCGCACATGGGGCCCTCGTGCGGAACCTTTCGTCGAGAAAAGCACAACACAAAGCAATGAGAGCGCGTGAGACTACGCAGCAGAAGGTGCCCAACCTTTCCCCCCTTCTGGCGCAATTTCATTTGACAAGTCCTTGCGGGTAGTTCCTACACCATCTACCTCTGGCAAGCACGCGCTGATGCATAGCAAGTCGTGGGCATTCCGCCCAAAAAGACTGGTCGACATGTAACAAGCGAGAGCGTTTGTCACCAACGACGAAATAAGTCACATTCATGAGCAGTGAGAAGCGGAAGCTTTCGCGAGGGGGCGGGGTGGAGTATGCGAGAGTACGGGACATCGTGAAACGACATCGTGAAAACGGCGGCGCAAGACCAGTCGTAGCCGGCGAGCACGGAAAGCCGGTGATATTCCATCAAGCGGGGCAACCTGCGAACAACCTTGTTCGTTGATAGTCCAACCTTGACCTACCTCCTGCACCCTGTCCAGAGCACGGATGCGGTCCAGCGTTTCGATTGAAGGCGACAATCCGCCGTGCAGACAAAAAATCTGTTTCAACGAAGCCGGTCGATTATCACAGCTAAGTTAGCACGACACTCGAACGTAAATGTGGCACAACAGCGGGCGGACATACACGAAGAACTTCGTATGCGGCAAAATTCACTCCACGACGCAATCCGTAAGGAAGCCTGTAGGAGAAGCAACATGCATCCAATGTGTTGTAGATCAGCTGCCTCGATGACCAAAAACGTAAGTCAATATTTCTCCTCGACTATTCCAACAGTAGCGTTTGACGCATTCGTCAACTCGACGGACACCGACTATATTCACGAAACAAAAGCAAATTTCCGACACGAGTTATGGAGGTGTACATGTACCACACCAAAGGTGAGGAAGGAGACACACACGCACACATGGCGTACCTGGTCGTCCACCAGAGCCGTCAGCGGCAAGTAGTCAAACACATCCGTGAACATTTTCCACACGGTGGCGTTGCCGTACTTCCGGACACATTCGTCGTAAAACCCGTACCTGCAGGCACATGCCGACAGAACACACGGGTATTTAAAGGATGGCGTTTGCATACGCTGGAGATAAGATATTGTACTGTCCCTCACGAGACAAAATATGATTCAAGAATCACGCGCATCCGAACGCGCCGAAGTCGCAACGCGAACTGCCTCAACTACCTGGCGTCGACAACAACACGGGGTGCCGCGTGAAGCAGCGTTGGTCGATCATACCGACCTACGAAAGGGGCCAGCATGAGGATAAAATGTTGCATGAAGGCAGTCCCATCAATCTTACTCTTTCACAGCGGTCACCCCCCAAAGAAATTGCTCAGGTTGTGGTCAACAAGCGTCAACTACAGAGATGGGCAGCCAGTACGGTTACGTAGTACCAGCGCCGTCGCCGCTATCGCAACGACATCGGCACGCTACTCACACTTGTGTGATTTGCCTGCTCTCGTGGTTCCCCCTCAGAATGTACAGACGGTCGGGGTATCGCACTTTGAGCGCTACCAGTAACGTCACCGTCTCCACCTGAAAGGAACCCAATAAAACAGCAGGAACAATTCGAACGATCCGTCAAGAAGGAAGAGGAGAACAAAACATTCAGTTCGCTCTAGCGCATGCGAAATTGAGTCGTATCAGTTGCAGCGCAAAACGTAGCCGTGACGCAGGGCGTGTAAGGTAGCCGTCAGCAAAAGATACCGTACCATTTCTGAACGCACTGCTTGCGAGCGAGCCATGACCGCGCTGGATTTGAGAGCAACAACACCAACGACAGTGAGAACCTCCGGTCGCCGCCTTCAAGCACCAAAAAGCGACATGTGTAGCATCAGATCATGCCACAGCGCCAGCAGTGGCACCGACGTGGCCAGATCAAGAACACTTTGCGAACGTCGGATTCCGATGGGCTGCAACCTTTCACACGCATCAATTGCACTTGCCGAGTAGTAACCCCTGTCGACGTAGTCACCCATAAACAAATAGTTTGTGTCCGGAGCCTTGCCGCCTATCCGGAATAGCTCCATCAGGTCATGAAACTGCCCGTGCACGTCTCCGCACACAGTCACCGGACACCGCACTGGCTGCACGTTAGACTCCTCCAACAGCACATCCCGGGCCTTCACCGGAAGCGTGAACGGGGTGGGTGGGACGGTCAAGGAATGATTGGTCCAGTCAGGAGGTACGTATCTACATACGGGCAGCTACTTGAACGTGGGAACGATAATCTTGTCGCCGGTATAAATGCTCGGCGAGGAATACGCTCCAGTTTCGATTGTCATCTGTCACATCCAGCGCCAGTCGAGAAAAAACCTCGTACGGCTAAACTATCTACTGCTGTGCTCGAGAACTTTCGGTTCGGACAACATGACCAAATGCAACATCATGTTCCACAGCAGGCACCGTTTGCTGCTTAAAGATAGCCTGACGGCGTCCTCGAAAGCAGCATTTAGTATTTAGCAGGTAACGCTCATGTGTCAGTTTCTTGGAAGACCGGCACAAGTGTGAATGCGGTGCGACGCTGTGCCCACGTTATAGATGGGACTGTCACGTACAATGAACCATGTGTGTTAAAAATCAAGGTGGAACATTCATCAGCAATACTACTGTACGTACTCATGTGCTCACAACAAACCGCTTGGGTACGTCATGGAAGCGCACCTTCATGTGATTTCATATTCACATGCTATGCATGCGTAACTTACCTTATTGCAGAGTTGCACTACCTCACTCTCAGCCAAGGTCTTCCCATCCAGAAGCTTGGCCACCCAAGCGTCGACGCAATTCACCGTCGATTCCTCCGGGTCCCCCGCCATCTAATGCAATGCACTGAAAGAAGCCGCAATACGCATCGGCGAAGGGGATCAGATTGGCTGCCAGACGATACGCAAAACGGTTCCGCGTTCCTGCTTCGACGAAATCCTTTGCACCCCTGCACACCAGTCATCAAAGGCGCTTAACCGCTTATCATGAGAGCAGGGTGAAAAAAAAGTAAAAGACTTGTTTAAAACGTTGAGCGAAGTCTCGCGTACCACACGGACGGGTGAGAGTGTGTTGTGTTTTCGTCCTATTTATTATGGCGACATTCCCCCCATTTTTCGTGGTGAGACGTGTACTACACTTTTCAGCGTATGTAGAGTACACCTGCTGTTGCAGACCCTAAGAGCTCTAAGCAGAGGCGCACCATGCCTTGTGCGGAAGGTGAGCTGTACCTTCAACAGGACAGAACGCCGCAAGACCCTCATGGCCACGTCTGCCAGGGAGGATGTGGAGGGCGGCTCCACGGCAATTGCGGCAGCGTGTTTGACGACATCGAGACGCACCGTATATGCAGCACGTGCGTTACCAGGATTGGCAAGCGCAAAGCGGCAGCAGCTGACGGTGCTGGGGCGGGACCATCTAAACGCCAGAAGAACAAGAGCGGTGGGAGCAAGAAGGGGGGTGTTCGTGCGCGCCCGGACAACAACACGAAGCTTGAGATACTCAAGCTGCTGGATGCGAAGGTCTCTCAAGTACAGATTGCAGACCGCTTCGGGTGCTCGGAGCGGTTTGTTAGGACTGGGAAGGCTGACCGGAAGAAGGTGGAGGCTGCGACTCCTGCAGGCGGCGGCACCCAGAAAACCGCGCGCAAGGGAGACTTTCCGGAGGTGAGCTTTCTTTTCCCCGCCTTTTTTGTTCAAAATTGTTGCGGGCCGCTGTCCCCTGGCCTTTTTTTTCGTCCATGTTTCTTTCTTTTCGTCGTTCTTCATTTTTTTTTTCACTGGTACAATAGATGTTGTCTCTCTTGTTTTTCTGTCCATTGTGTGTCTGTCTCGGTTTTCTCACATATGTATGTCCGCTTTCATCCTCCTTTCCTTTCTGTGTGGCTAGTTCGTTGTTGATGTCCCCCTCTTTGCGTCTTTCCTATTCTTATTTTTTTATGTACTCCGTATTATATGTACAGCAGACATAATATAAATAATCAATTCCTTTTTTTTTGTGTGTTTTGTTTTGTCTCTCTTTAAGGTACGACTGNTCGTTGTTGATGTCCCCCTCTTTGCGTCTTTCCTATTCTTATTTTTTTATGTACTCCGTATTATATGTACAGCAGACATAATATAAATAATCAATTCCTTTTTTTTTGTGTGTTTTGTTTTGTCTCTCTTTAAGGTACGACTGCTGTGTTGTCCCGCCTGACCGCGCCGCGCAGTGTAGGATGCATGCTAATGTTCGAAACTAATGGTAAGACCTTCTGCTTGTTTACTCGTTTTTTGGCTGCAGGTGGATGCGATAGCTCTTTATCTGCTCGCCAAAGCCCGGAAGGCCAAGATGCCCGTCACACGCGATGTCCTTCGAAGCTTCGGCCGTACCGCCAGGACAACCCTGCTGGCTGACACCGCAACTTCTGCAGCAGTAAGGGCGAGGGTCGAGGACTTCAAGGCCGGCGAGAAATGGACAAAGAACTTCGTGAAGCGCAACAACATCCAAAGCGTGCGACTTCATGGCGAGGCTGGTAGCGTCGACAGGGCGGTTATCAAGGAGGGCATGGACGAAGAGGAGGGCAGTGGCGATGACAACACGGGGCCCGAGCGCCGTGCTCCACCTGGTTATGCTGAGCTGTCGCCTCACTTCAGCGTCCTAGAAGCGGCAGCAGATGAGAGTTGCAACGGAGACGCGGCGTTCTTCTTAACGAAAGCGAAGACGGCAATGATTGCAGCGCATTCCGCTAAGCGGGTGCGCCAGGCAGACATGAGAGAGTTTGTTGCTCCTACGGAGTTAGGTGTGTGCAGCTGTTGTATGTAGCAATGGTTGTTTCCTTTTCTTCCGGTGCGCTTCCTGTCGTGCTTTTCTTTTGTAACATCCAAGGGGATGCGCCAGGCACACGTGAGAGAGAGCTGCTGCTACGTTGCGAGGGCGGGGAGAACAGCTGTGGTAGTAGTAATGGTCGTTATTTTTTCGTGGGGTGCGCTTCCTGTCGTGCTTTTCTTTTGTAACATCCAAGGGGATGCGCCAGGCACACGTGAGAGAGAGCTGCTGCTACGTTGCGAGGGCGGGGAGAACAGCTGTGGTAGTAGTAATGGTCGTTATTTTTTCGTGGGGTGCGCTTCCTGTCGTCGTTCTTTCTCTCTGTTGTCTGTTTTTATGGGGCAACATCGAAGGAGGGCAACGAGGACTTAGACGTCCAGTAATCCTACNGTAACATCCAAGGGGATGCGCCAGGCACACGTGAGAGAGAGCTGCTGCTACGTTGCGAGGGCGGGGAGAACAGCTGTGGTAGTAGTAATGGTCGTTATTTTTTCGTGGGGTGCGCTTCCTGTCGTCGTTCTTTCTCTCTGTTGTCTGTTTTTATGGGGCAACATCGAAGGAGGGCAACGAGGACTTAGACGTCCAGTAATCCTACACTCATTTTCGATCCACGATCCACATCGTACTCTGTTGACCCCGCAAAGCTTGAGCGCTGCACCATGAAATCACCCCCTCCTCAGTAGTGCCGGTTAGTGCCGGACCGGCACTACTGAGATATATTCGAAGCCTCCATACTGCCGGTGCCCGGTATAGTGCCCCTTTTCCCTCTGGACATTACCCGGCACTATGGCGGGCCCCCCACTGTACTACACTTTTCAGTGTCTTTTTCGTACAACTACAACCATCCAGGGTCACACAGTAGTAGGGGGTGAACACCAGGCCTTTTCCTTCATTTTAATAGTTTTTTTTTTGAAAAAGTGTGGCCCGTTAGGGGTACGCTTTTTGTTTTGTTTTACAAAAAAAAAGCTGTTTAGAGGGATCGTGTGTGGAGTATGTGCGCACGAGAAAAAGAATAATTTTCATGCACAGGGGCGTGAAAATTTAGCGATGGCTGTCTGGTGTCNAACAGACGCACGAGCCTACTGCAGGTACTTTTGTGCAACCACCACAAAAAACTATTCCACCTCCAACTCTAGTATTTCTTTTCATGCCCCACCCGCCTGCGGTGCGTGCTGTTTTTATTTTTATCGCGAGGAGGGGTCCAGCCGTCCCCTTCCCTCGTCAAAGGTGCTAACGTCGAAGTTTGGTACTCACGAGAGCTTGTCAACTACATTTCGCTTTCACCCCCACATTTCGTAGATTTTTCACCCCATGGGGAATCGAACTCACGACCTCTGCGACTAGCGGATTAGGAGGATACCACTAGACCACCGGGGCGACCAGTTGAGAGTACGAACCACGTGAATCTACGTCCTGCCGGGCGGGAGATGGAAACGTACAGCAGCACAAAATATACCGAGATTNGGAGGATACCACTAGACCACCGGGGCGACCAGTTGAGAGTACGAACCACGTGAATCTACGTCCTGCCGGGCGGGAGATGGAAACGTACAGCAGCACAAAATATACCGAGATTACTACTTTTGTTGCAAAACAGGTCATGCTAACTTGTATTCTCTGCGAACAGACCACGTGCAACACATTTTCGTGTGGAGCAATTATGATGAAAACATCTGTGCCCACTTTCGTCCTCGTCGCGCTCTATGAGGTGACTGCTTCGCTGCCAGCAGGCCAGTTTCATGAATGGCTTGAGAACAAAACAAGCACGGCATGGAGCCATCCCGTTGCTGGATGTCTGTTCTATGTACCACACTGCTGTTCTACCGTTGCTCAGGGGCACAATTATAAAACCAAGATCAGCTTCATGTTCCCTACTGTACGCTCTCAGCACAGGTGTACAGATGAGTGTGCTTTTAAGATCTCACCGGGGTGAGGCCAGGGCGCGAATCCGCTGCTGGACGCACGCTTGCAGCTTCGTGCCGAGTACTCCAGTCGTGGATCCTGATGACGGGCTTCACTTACAGGCTCCCTGCTGCTACGACGCGTACCTACCGCTGCGACGTCCCGCACAAACCACACACAAGCAGAACGTCCAGTGCTTGGTTCGATGCCTGGATAGCATGCCAGGAGGCACACGGGCACACAACAAGAAATGCACCACTGCTCGGTCGCGGGCACGGGGGGCAGAAGGGGGGCACGCAAAGTGTATGGGGAGGAGTTCCAGTATCACAAAACTTGGTCGTTCGGGAGGGACTAGGTAGGCTTAGGCCCATTATGCTAGCATTTCTTTTGGCATAATTGGCCATTTGGAGC